ATCGTTGCATTCAGGTCTCAATTCTATGTTTAACTTTTGAAAATTAAGTAATTAAATTCAAATCTGCCAACATTAATAAATAATATGTAGATCATAAAAAATTTCATCATATAAATTACTAGGGACTAAAATTAGAATTGTACTAACACCTTCTACAAATTATAACAATTCAATTAAAGTTACATTAGCATGAGAGAAAAAAATAATTTGTATGGGTAGATCATATATCTATTCGTCAACAAGACACATAAATAATTAATAAAAAAAATTTTAATAGGTTGATCGAATATGACAAAATCAAATATAAAGGTCTAATTTAATTAAACCATCTAAACTAATTAGTTTAAACATGGACCATTCTAAGGATATATTACCTAACTCCACCTACATTGTCATATTTCATACTCATTAATTCATTCATTAAACTCTCAACTTCAGTCTTATTGAATACCTTGTATCTCTCTCCTACAGCGGTGAAGAACTCATTGACATTCTTGGTTTCAGACAAGCCACTCATAAGGTGTTAAGAGATAGACATTTTCATACCAATCACACTCAGCCTATTATATTTCTCCCACTTGGCATAAAGTTCTTTTTCATCAGGCGAGCTCTCACCAGTAGGTTTGACAGATTCATTCTCTATCAAGACAAAGTCTATATCAACAATTCCCAGAGAAAACTCAATATCTTGCTTCCATCTCTTATAATTAGAACCAATCAAGACTTTAATGTTGACATTATTACTATTCATAACAAAAGTGATTGGTCAAGGTAATGAGAATATAAATAATTAGCAAAATTAGGCAATAAATAAATAAAATATGCTTTGAACATAATAAGATATATTTTATTAAGAGAGTCCAAATACATCACTACAAACTCCCATTTGGACAGAGAATGCATTTGCTATAGGTCATTTCTTTCATGAAACTAACAAATGAGAATACTCAAGTTTTAAAAAATTTATTCCCTTTGAGCAGATAAACCTTCTAGAATATTGCACCTCTACCACAATGTTTCATGACATCTCCAAATTACAATACATAGCAATCTCCTTTAGGCAGGCAATTGTATATGATAATTTAGAGATAATCCCGTAACAAATGTATGAGAAAAACTATAAATTTCAATGAATAGACTATTTTGGTGGTAACCATCCATCTTAACTAATATAATTTCTCAAACCAGAATATTATAACAAATTGCCCATAATTAAATATTATGTGATCAATCAATATGAGGTACTAATCAATATATATCTCTTTAGATCACTAATTATCAATCGTTGCATTCAGGTCTCAATTCTATTTTTTACTTTTGAAAATTAAGTAATTAAATTCAAATCTAGAACACCTAAATTACAAGGTTTAGAACATACTTGTATGAGCTATGATACTCGATCTCCGAATTTATTTCGTGAAAGGACAAGGTCTTCCTCTCATTCTTCAAAACAATAGGCGGTTCTCAATAAGACAAGCCAATTTAGGGTTATGAAAATAGAAAGGGGACCTAGTATGTTATTTATAATGAAATCTAATAGGCTCTCCCATTACGAGCCACAATTGGATTAAGGCCTACACTTAACCACCTCAACCACATTAATTAAAAGATATACATAAACCCATCAAAATAGATCACTTAATAATATTATGCTCAACTCATTGGACCATAAATTCAGCCAATTTTTCACAAACTAAAAATTAACTATTAATTAATAATAGTCCAATATAAAAAAAATTCCAACAAAACATGCATGTGTAATAGACATAAAATATCCAAATTGACACTATGGAACGAGAAAAAATTATCGTGAAGACTAGACGAATTTTACAAAGAAGTCAGGAGTTCGAATTTTTTCACAAGATTCCCATGGTGAAAATAATGGTACGAAGAATTGGCTTGGTCCAAAATCTAAACTCATAGAGTAAAACAAAAGCCCCTCCCCTCCCTCCCCCCTTCCCCCCCTCCCCTCCCCAAATTTAACAAGCCTAAATATAAATTTTTTAGTACTTGGGCTCTTATTAGGACACAAGAGGGCCTCATGTGACAGTGTCGCACCTTTGATATGTATTTCTGGGTAGTGATGATCATCTGGTCTTCCACTTCTTGTTGCTCATTGCCTAGAATCTACGACAATGCACTTGTTCGACAAGTTCAAGGCTTAAAGAGAAGCAAAAAAAGATGATTCTTACTGACTTGATCTTGCTTCTGAGTAGGGATGGCAGTGGACCAGAGAAAAGCGGGTATTCGTCAAAACCCGGCCCGTTTGGACAGGGGATGGACTATATGTATTGGACGGTGGACGTATACGGGGATACCCGTATAAACCCGTACGGGGATGAAGGCGGGGATGAACTTACCCTTACTCCTGCCCCGCCCCCGCCCCTCCCCTCCCCACCGCCGCTACCCGTTATATATATATATATATATATATATATATATATATATATATATATATATATATATATATATATATATATATATACACTCGCAAGCTTTAACAAAACATATTTACTGTAACTACTAATTTAGAAATATGGTAATCAAACTAACAAGTGACATTGCTATGTGGTAATCTTATCAACTTTTTTCCTGATTATTTTTTTTCTATTTGTGTTCACTGATTGAAACTGTTATGAGTTTGATTTGACCATGCTCTAAAAACAGATAAGAGAGAGTAAGATAGTTTTGCATTTCATTGTGGATAGAAATATTGTGAATGGAGGTTGATGAGTTTCTCTGCTAGAGTGAACAAAGAAATTGGGAGAATTATTGAATTAGCAAAATTTTAAGTTTTCATCTTTTAACACTTTATGACTGTAATATGAATTGTAATAATAAAAATTCTTCTAAGAAATTTCAAGTGTAGTGCTATCGTTTTCTTAGTTCAATTTTTTTTTTCTTCCTTTCTCTCTAATAGTTCTGTTTCTCTTTTTGTGGTCCAATGACACTTTAAACATAATACTATATTGTTTTGGCTTTTACATTTTGTAATTTAGATTATTCACTAGATTATTTAGAATGTTGTTGAATTATTTAAAATATTAGATTTATTTAGAATTATGGATTATTCTACTTGAGCTTGGGTTTGAGCTTAAGCGGGGACGGGGATTAAAAATTTATCCGTGGACGAGGATGAGAATGAAAATTATACTTGTTAACGGGGGTGGACCGGGGATGGACAAAATTTTTTTAAGCGGGTACGGAGATGAAGACTACACTCCCCGCCCCCCGCTTCGGTCCACTGACATCCCTACTTCTGAGGCCATTCTTCCACAGAGAATGCTTAGAATGAAACCAATGTTAAGTGCTAAATGAAACTGGTTTAACCTAATTATATTTCCACCATGGTAGTAATGTGTTGCTTTCACCCCCCATATATAAGCTCTATAATGGCGGGTATGAAAGAATTGATTTGCATTACTTTTGCTGATTATGGTGTTTTACATTTCGTCACCAAAAAAAAAAAAATGATACCATAGTCAAACCCACTTTTCAATTGAAACCTAATGGTCATCATGTTGGTCAAAACAAAATTACAGAAAATCTCAACAAAAGCGGAGTTCGATTCAAGCAAAAGAACGGATTTTTATTGTATCATTTGGTTCTCATTGATTTTATTTTGGTCTAATATTTTTCCTTACCTTGTGTGAAAACTTTGTTTTCTTAAAATCAAGGATTCAATTGGCAATTTTGTCGGATAAGAAACTATCTTATTCGGTTGTGAATAGCAATATGGATAACTTGTAGGATCAAATGGGCCAATAATTTAGCCACATAAATCATCTAGGATTGTTGTGGATGTGTGTATATCTCTACGTATTTGAAAAATCTAAATATATAATTCCTATGAGAAATATTATACTTTGAATCCCTTAACTATTCAGAGTTGTTCACACACTACGTCAAAAGTAAATGTCCGCCACATTATGTCCTAAAGTATTAATTTTATTTCATATCACTCTAATAGAAAATGACTGTTAATTTTTTTACGATAAATGTGCATGTGAATAGTATGTACTATCCTTAAGTAACTGTCTATATGCTGATCAAAAATTAAGAAAAATAACAATTTATGACTTTGCTCTTCCTAAACTCTAAATTTTCTTCTTCTAATTGACCTTCTTTTTCTTCCCAACAACCATTTGGTTGCAAACGAGGTAAAGTAATGTAGTACTAGACACTTAACGAGAAGCTTTTTGTTTGACAGATTTTTCAGTTTGTCGTTATCTATTAGAGTGATATGAAATAAAATTGATACTTTAAGGTATAATATGAAAAATTTTATAATTAAGGGCATAAACTGAAATGAGAATAATAGTTTAGGGGAATAAAATGTAATTTACTCTTAGCCGGACGAATCAAAATCTGGTACAATAGAAAAAGATAGGTGAATGTTATGCTTGACAGACAGTCCATGAAATTGAAATTAACCGCTCAAATCATAATAGAGATAAGTTTTAAATTAAAATATTATGAATTCAAATTTTGATAATTTCTTTAGATTAGGTCATAAGAAATTTATTTTTGTGAATTTCTTAATCTTGAAATAAATGACTTGTATTTGAATGAATTGGAGAAATAATTAATTAAAAAACACGTAAATTGATATAGACACCTTGATCATTGATCAAAAAAGACAGCCCTTGAAAAGTGAAGTAAGGGAAACGCTACGGACCGAAAATGATAGCGTACCAAAATGTATAATTTTTAAAAATGTCAAATTACAACTCAGTAAAAAAAATTACAATTAATTCAAATAATTCATCATCGATAGCAGTAAAGACTTGACTCAGGCACGTGAGTAAGGACCACTGGACCACCAACCTTATCTTCTCATCTTTCTGTACACGTGGCGTGCCTTGTGTGAGATTACGATTACTACCTACACGTTTCATCTGTAAAGCTATAAGGCTATGTTTGTCTATAAATACTCGTTTCATCACAGCCAGTCCATATCAATCACAAGGCAAGCTAAGGAAAAAGCATAACATTTAGGGATGGCTTCAATTTGTAAAGGTAAAGATCTCTTTATAAGTTCTATTGTTAAGAATATTTTTAGAATTTCAATGCTAAGTGGATAATATAGTAACATAATTCGACTAATATTTTTTTTTGTGCTTAATGATTCAGGTAAGAGTTCATGGCCAGAGCTTGTTGGGACGCGAGCACAAGATGCAGCTGCAATAATTGAGAGGGAAAATTCATTGGTTACTACTATCATTATGTATGAAACTTGCCCCGCCACCCTAGATTTTAGGTGCGACAGGGTTCGAATATGGGTTGACTGCAGTGGCACCGTTATCCGAGTACCTGTGATTACTTAGCTCAGAAGAACACGTTCTGAATTACAAATAATTATCTAGTATGGTGTGTATTTGAAATAATTCAACACATAGACATTGCCGTCTACATGTGTTGTACTAAACCTTAAATAAGGAGCAATCATAATGTTCCCACTTTGTTAATCATCTCTCTCTCTCCCTCTCTCTCACACACACACGCTATTTTGCCACTGCTGGGGTCCTTGGGCTGTTTTGCAACTTCAATTAAGTGCACCAACTTGAGAGGGTCGAACCTATTTATGATAAATGAACTCTAATCTTGGTTAAGCACCTAATTCCTAGGAAAAAAGAACAAATCACTATTTCCAAAAGTTCTTACCTTTAGAGGAATGTTGGTTAAGCATCTAATACCTGAAAACTGTTGGAGTTGATTTATTTGTGTTTTTGCAACTGCGGATAAAATATGTTAAAAAAAAATAATAACAAATGACCAAAATGGTAAAATCCTATCCGAACACGAAACCTAGAAACACCAAAGCATAGAATCAAGAGATAATTAACGATGATTCATTTTGACCACTATAACTTAAATTATAATGTAAACAAAAAGCTTTTTTTTTTAGAAAAAGTAAATTTTCGAATTTGATAGCCCATGGAAGGAGTCTGCTCAAATTGTGTACTCATCCATCCTAAATCAGTTGTAACTCTCCACAATAATTTCTTGTTCAATTGCCATAAATTAGATACAAATGATTACTACACATTTATGTCAAGTCCTTTTCTTGTGACTACCGATAACTATTGCCATTTGTCTTATGTAGAAGTATTATTCCACGTTTAACAGAAGGATATTGCCTCGAGGATATTCTCGGCATTTTTATTTTATTTTATTCAATTTTCGGATCAATTACGTACATTTTAATTAATCTATTTTTTTGGTTCGGTCAAAAATAGTTCATAAACGTTGGATTATAGTATTCATGAGAGATAAAATTTTTTTGATCTGACCCTAAAAAATTACCAAATTTTAAGCTTATAACGTCTATATTTATAATTTATTCATATTACCACTTAAACTGACCTTTTTTAAATTTAAGTCGCATACAGTTTTACAGATGAAAGAGAAAAATAGAAGTATAGCTAAGATCTATGAGTAAAACATACATGTGTATGTAGTAATCGAAGTCTCACAGACGGTAAATAATACAAAGTAGCTGTGGCTGCTAAAAGCAAGAGACATTACAAAGTTTGACAGCATTGATGAAAGACAAATCCATGAAATTCTCGTGCAATCTCCTTCGTTTAAACATGAGTAAATTCGGTGGATCATATGAATAAATTACAAATGATCACGGGCAGGGGCGGGGCTATAGTCACTTTTCGGTGGGGGCAACTATCCAATTGAAAAGAACGACTAAACAACAATTATTAAAATTCGTTGTATTTTGTGAAAATGATTGTTTAATTTTAATTATAACTTAAAACTAGCGCTAACTTCTTTAAAAATTTCGGTGGGGATAAATGATCTCTACCGAAATTATCTTATGGGTAGAAAATATAGTCTTTTATCTTCCTATCCGATATTTTGTGGAAGAATTTTTTTTTTTTCTATCCTGCTCGATCAAGTGTGGTATTCTTACCCGACTTCCTACCCGATTAATCAGGTAGGAAGTCCGGTAGGAAATCGGGTAACACTTTTATAACTATTAATTTTTAGATTATTTTAACAATTCAATTAAATAACATGTACTAATTTAACAACACAATAAATCAATATTACTAAAACCTAAAACAACTACAACAACAATTATAATAAAACACAAGAAAGCATGAACACCAATTCATCATAATTATTACGCAAATACAATAACAATTATTTTAAGTTTAAACCATATGAAACACATTAAAATTATAACTGTTCCAATAGATCACTAGTTCACCCCAAATTACGTAAACTATACAAAAAACAAGTTCATGTTTTAGCAACTCAAACATTCACAACAATAAAAATGTTATAATATAAATTATACCACACAAATACTCTTATAATTACTAAAACAATATAAAAAATTTAAATATATTTTTTGCGGGTAGAGCAGGGTAAGGTAAGAATGTGAAAATTGATGGGTATTCTGTATTCCTATCCGATTTAATCGAAAGACTAAAAACTCTTCTGCAAAAAAGAAAAAACTGAAAAATTATACTTGGGAATGGAACTAGTATAATTTATCACAAAACTCTAATGTGATCCTCTCTATATACTTTGTGATGGATTAGCACATGTTGTATGAAATAGGTATTCATAGACCAACAACATCAGAACTTGTTGTTAGCTCTCTTTCGAACTTTCTACTTAACTGAAGTTTAATTGCCTCCATCAAAATTCTTATACAAACAGGCTTGATAAGTTATCTGAACGTTCTAGTTGGTAGACAACAAGAAATTTGCATGAAATATATAGGATTGAGTTAAACGTGAAACATTTCAATTGTCATGCAGAACAAATACATGTGGTTATCACTTTGAAAAGCAAGAGGACGACCACAAATTTCTCGTACAATAGCTTGAGTTAAACATGCATGTGTAATAGACATAAAATATCCAAATTGACACTATGAAATGAGAAAAAATTATCATGAAGACTGGCTGAATCTCATAAAGAATTCAGGAGTTCAAATTTTGTCACAAGATTCCCTTGGTGAAAATAAAGGTACGAAGAAATTACTTGGTCTAAAATCTGAACTCATAAGAGTAAAACAAATGCTCCCCCCACCCCAAATTTTGTCATCAAATTCTGGTACAATAGAAAAAGTTACTTGGCAGACTGCCATTGAAATGAAATTATTCACTCAAATAATAATAGTGACAAGGTCTAAATCAAAACGTTTTGAATTTGAATTTTAGTAATCTCTTGATATTAGATCATGAGAGACTTATCTCTCATATAATTCTTAGTCCCGGAATAGACGAATTGCATTTGATTGGATCGAAAAAAGAATTAGTCAAAATATACGTAAACTAACACAGACACCTTGATCCAAAAAAAAAAAAACAGTCCATGAAAAGTGAAGTAAGGAGAACACTACGGACCGAAATTAAATGTTAATTTAGGGTTAATTTGGTGTGAATTTAATAAAATTGAATATCGATTTGATGAGATTGAATATTAGTTTGCTAAAATAAAATGATAATTTTATAAAATTTAAAATCACTTTAATGTTAATTTGATAAAATTTTGTATTAATTTGATGTTAATTTGATCAAATTGAATATTAAATTTATAGTTAATTTGATGAAAGTTAATGTGGTTTTGATAAAATTTAATGTTAATTTGGTTTTAATTTCATTAAATTGAATTGTAATTTGGTATTAATTTAATAAAATTGAATATTAATTAGATGAATTGAATGTTAATTTGATGAACGTGTATGTTGATTTGGCAAAATTTGGTGCTAATTTGATGAAATTGAACATTAATCAAAAAAATTAAATGTCAATTTTATGTTAATTTGACAAAATTATAGATTAATTTTGTATTAACTTGAGTAAAGGTAATTAAATAAAATGGGAGTTCTAATAAAATTACATATTATGTTAAATCTATTAGCAGACAAAAATTGAAAGGGTATATAATAATATTTCAGAAATTAGAGTGTCAAAAAAGTATGACTTAAATTCAGTGAGTATTAATGAAATTTATCCAAGTTTAAATCATGGAGATTGCACGAGAATTTCATGGGTTTGTCTTTCATCGGTGCTGCCAAACTTTGTAGTTGTACAATCTCTTACTTTTCGTACCGTCTGCCAGACTTCAATTATTATTTGCACATGCACCAATAAATTTTTATTTCAATGGTACTTTTCTTTTTTTAATTTTATTTTTTCAAAATTAAAAATTCAAGTCTCTTACCCACTTTTCCTTCCGCTTCCCTTTCCCTCTCCCTCTCCCAAAAAACATTAATAATAATAAAAAATACTATATGCACATGCATGTTTGACTCATAAACCTTAGCTATTCTTCTATTTTTCTCTTTCATCTGTAAAGCTGTCAAGGAATGTTTATCTATAAATATACTCATTTCATCACAGCCAGACCATATCAATCACAAGGCAAGCTAAGGAAAATCCGCGACACATGGGATATGTCTATAATTTGTCTTTTCAAAGTTCTGTTGCTAAGAATATTTTTAGCATGTGACTTGTCACGTTACCCTAGATATTAGGTGCAATAGGGTTCCAATTGGGATTGACCGCAGTGACACCATTATCACAATTTCTACGATTGGTTAGCTCAGAAAGACACATTCTGAATTGCTAGTACCAAAACCAAATCCCCCAATGTCACATCATCTCCCTCAACTTAGTATACTTGTGCATAAAATGCAAATTTAAAGTATTTAGTTAGTTTAAAATGATCCAACGAATAAGGACTTAAATTTTCACATTCAATAGTTGGGTTCAAATTTTCATAGTTACAATATCTTTGTGAGGTCAAATTTACTCTTAAGCTCAGAGTCTACGGTGAGACTTTTATTTTTGGTCTCAACGTAGGTACGAGAGAATTTCTTGTAAATATCTATGCGTTGTCCCAAAACAATACTCCCAAATATATTTATAGAGCGATCGATCAGCATATAAATTTTCTCAATTAAGAGAATGACTGTAATACTAATTCTTGTGAGATAAGAGGAGTTTAATAAAAAAAAAAATGCTCAATATATATATTTGGAACTTAAACCAAAAGCTAGTTTCTTTTCAGTCTTTCATGCTACATTACGATCATGTGATTATTAGAAGAAATTAGAATTCTTTTAAATGGTTTGCACGTGATTACTAAACCTTTTTTTTTTTTTTCAGGGTCAGATTATTGCACCTATTTTAACTCATGGAGATTGCACGAGAATTTCATGGATTCGTCTTTCATCAATGCTGCCTAACTTTGTACTATCCTTTGCTTTTCATAGCCACAACTATTTGGCACTGTCTACCGTCTGTGAGACTTTAATTACTATATACACATGTTTTACTCATGCACCTTTGCTATACTTCTATTTTTCTCTTTCATCTGTAAAGTTATCAATCCATGTTTCCCTGTAAATAATAAAGTACATCTTATATCGCTTGTTTAGCGCCAAAGACTTGAGTATAAATGTCATATTCTCAATTTTTCTTTTAAGAGGAATTGGTATATAGATTCCTCTTCTGGTATGTGTTCTGAATAGTTTTGGTGTGTAGACTAATGTGTGTGTATATATGCATGTCTTTGTCCAAAAACAACAAAGTGTATCTCACATCGCTTGCTCAGCTCCGAAGACTAAAATATAAGTGATTTATTCTCAATTCTACTTTTAAAAAGAATTGGTACGTGAGTCCTATTGGTGTATGTTCTGAGTAGTTTTAGTGCGTAGATTAATGTGGGTGTATATGTGCATGTTTTTGCCGAAAAAAATAAAAAGTCTCACAGACGGTAAATAGTACAAAGTAGCTGTGGTTACGAAAAGCAAGGGATAGTAAAAAGTTTGACAGCATTGATGAAAAGCAAGGGATAGTACAAGCATTGATGTGTAATTTTCGTTGACGTTTTCTGAATTTATGTCACCAGGGGGACCATTACTTAGAGAACGAGGACCATGGGCAGGGGCAGGGGCAGGGGCAGGGGCAATAGTCTCTTTCCGGTGGGGGCAAGTGCAACTATCCGATGGAAGAGAAAGCAAAACAAAAGCAAGGCTTTGTCAACATGTCTGTTGCATTCTTAGAAGTGTGAACTTTCTCAAATAATAGTTCATCAGAAGAAATCAGTTTTCTGATCTTATGAAACCTTACATCTATATGTTTGGTCCTCGCAT